CTTTTTTTATTTCAACTGTGGTGCCTAAACTGGAAGTTCTAAGGTTGAATCTCGTTAAATCACGATGGAGTAACTGGTCATCAAACAGGTCACCAACGTGATTACTTATTATCATGCTCTACTAACCCGACCAAATTTTTACCGTTGAATAGATATTTCGGAGGGAGTCTTGAATAAGATAAAGGAGCAAGAAGTAAGTTTAATTGGTGTTAGTAGGAGATTAGAATTAGTAATAGAATGGTGTTGTATTAGTATCGGGGGGGATCTAGTTGCTATGTAATTATAAAAGCTCTTCGAATTTGCCTTGTTTGTAAAGACAGTTCTACTAAAGGCTGGACTTAGAGGTTCTATCTGAAGTAGTCTCTCCTTTATAAATAAAGACTATCAAGCGTCTTTATATTATATCATATCTTATGACTATATCAATTACACTCACAATATTATACATTATCTCATTTTCACATGCTTCTTTATCTTTCTCGTGACGTCTGTATCTATTTACACATATACTTGTTAATTAATATTTACTTACCAATTGCAAACGACTGCATACACTTATCTGACGTTCGTTAACTATCCTGGGTTATCTTGGCACCCTTGTTTCTGTTGCTCTCCCGATCCAATAGTAACACCAGCTAAATTAATACGAATCAACGATTTTGGCATAATGATAAGTATTTGTGGTCTTGTTTGGTAAACTTGTTTTGCTATTCCTAATTCAATCTATTAATAAATATTCTTTATACCTATCGGCTAAATTAATGCAAATGAACGATTTGGTGTAATGGTAAGTATTTGTGCTCTTGTTTAGTGGCTATTTTTACTTTAAAAACTTTTTTCATAATAGTGACTTAAGTTAAATTCATCAGTGACAACGTAAACTTGCACCACACGACTATCTAACTTGCTGATGCTATCTCTAAAGAAAAAAAAATTTTATTATTAGTCTAATATCGAATCATTAGGAAACAGTGAAAACAAATGTTTTTAATAGAATAATGTAAATTGGTGGGATAATATCAAATTGAGAAATGTTAATTAATTACTATTTTTAGTTGGTAGAAATGAAAAATAACGATATAAATAGTCGCTCTTTATTATTG